GTGAAGGAATTGCAGGAAGAGAAGAAGGTGAAGGTGAAGATGAAGGGGGACAACACACACACACAACAATGTTCTCATACCAGGACGTGGGAACAATAATTTCTGATAAAACAATTCCACTTTGGAAGCTAAAAGCAGAAAGAGGCAGTGTTTACTTTGGAAGTGTTTCACCAACTCAGAAACGTTCCCTGATTTTCTTTTTCCTCAGATCTCAGATTAAACTGAAAGTACAAGTTAGAACCAAGATGGCGGCCCATTCAGATGCAGCAGCTTGGTTTTCTACTAAAAAAAACAAACAAAAAAAACATTCCAAACAGGTGCTGGATTTCTTATTAGTGCTAACTTTTCTGAAAACTTCAGCACGGGAGGACGGATTAAACACAGGACCAGAGCAGAAACTGGACCAGCTACAGACCAGGACCCAAGACCAGGGTAGAAACTAGATGAGCTAAACACCTAGACCTAGAACAAGAGCAAGAACTGGACCATGGACCGGAGTCTGATTTAAAAGTGTGTCAGTGTCAGTGACCGTGTCAGTGAGCAAAGACCTACCAAACGGTGGATTCCAGATCAGTTCAGCATCTTTCCCGGAGATTCCCAAAGTTCCATATTCCTCTGAATACAAACATCTGTGAAGTTGTCACAGAACATGACGATGAAGAAGGAACACCATTGGTCCCAATGTTCCTACAATCAGGTGGAAACAGTCTGTGGACAGTGGTGGACAGTAGCAGCTGTGGAACCAATGTGCACGTGAAGAAAAGGCTTCTGGAAAACTCCTCTCCCTTTTCTCTTCTCCTCCTCCTCCCTCGCTCCGCTCACTGAAGACAAAACACTGTTCTCTCTCTCTTATTCTTTCCCTGCTTTGCTCGCCCCTTCCCCTCCCTGACAGGAAGCGTGAGTCGCTCAGAGAGGAAGTCTTGTTCCGCGGAGATAAAGTTCTGGAACGGTGCTAAAATAATACCCAGAATTCCACACTGCTATTGTTATAGTGGACATAAATGCAGCAACACTTCCTCGTGTGTGTGTTTTAGAGAGGGAAGAAAGGATAAAGCAAAGTGTTGAAATGACTCATGAATATTTCGTTTTAGGTGGAGATAAAAAGATTTCTGTTTCTTCAGCAAAGTTATTATTTTAAATAAAGATAAGATAATAAAGATAAAAATAGGACTACAATGAAATAAAATGTGGAAAAAAATATCTCTGCTTATTTGAGATTTTCTAGGATTAAACATATGTTTGAGTTCAGTGGCCCTTTGGCCCAGAGGCCATGTCTCTGTCATTGGTGTAGAACCCCAGAGTTCACCTCCTGGGTGAGTTAGAATCCCAGTTAGGGCGGTTGGTACCTTCCAGTGGACTGACCACCTGCAGGGGGGGTGGTACGGTACAGTGGGATCTGGGTGGTGGTCATGGAGACTGCTGCCCCCGTGACCCGGTAACGGATAAGCAGGTGAAAATGGATGTTTGAGTTTAAAGGAAGTGCTGGGTTTCCAGAAAAGTTAAGTTAACACTGGTATTTTTGTGCTTCCTGGCTAACTTTGGCTAACGGTTAGCTATTGCCTGTATGTAGCATTCACTGTAGTTTTCACAAATATTTCACTATTCCTCTCCGTACTTCATCTCTTCTGATATATTTCCGGCACTGTTTCGACCATCTGAAAATACTTTGAAATTGTATTTTTTCACCAAACATCAACATTCAAGAATTCCATCATGTCTATGCAAGCCTGGTTTCACAGACTTTTGGGAGAACTTTTGAACAGTTCTGAACACAGTTTAAACTTTTAGGTTGTCCCTTTAAATAAACCAATTTTTATAACAGCAGTCAGATCATTTTTATAGAATTTACAACAATTTGGAGAAACAATTTTAAACAAAGGTAAAACACATGTTTTACCATGAAGACACTGAGCAGAAATCACCACTGGTCATGTGACTGAGTAAGAGAGCAGTGTCAAAGGTCACTGGGGTGAAGGCGTACGTTCTAACATGTTCTTCTACACAGGGAACAGTATTAGTCTGGACTTGGTCTTGAAGATCAGCAGAATGTGTCTGTGTGTGTGTGTGTGTGTGTGGGGACGGGGGAGAGGGAGGGTTCCATCCAGACCAGTGTTTTGACCAGTCCAGACAAGAAGCCTTTACATCAAACATGGAGCAGAGAGTCATCCATTAGTCCTACTTACATTTAACTTCAAAGCATTTCCTGCTCTACGTGTGTGTGTGTGTGTGTGTGTGTGTGTGTGTGTACATGGGATGTATAAGCATGTGAGCAGATTCCTTACATTCCCTGTCTTCCTTCTCTCTCACCTCCTCCCTGACTCTTTGTCTCTAACTGGAATTAGGACTCATTAGTGGATTTATGGTCTGCCTGTGTTTCCTGTTTTCATGCTCTAGTACAAAATAGTACCAGAACATTTTACCATAAAGAACCATTTTTAAGTAACAAAACTGGATTTTGGCTCCAGGTCTGTGGAACCAAACAGTCCCAACAGTGCTTGGACTTCCTGGAGGCTCCTTTAGTCCAACGTCTCCCAGAGACAACAGTTCTACAAAAACAGTTCTACAAACTCCAACCTCACAGTTGTGTCTATTGTGTTCCTGGTGCCTCCACTGGATGGATAAAGTTCCTGGTACAGGGACCAGGACGGCAAATGGACAAATCAATGGTGAGGAGACAAAGAGTGTGTAAATAATTATGGTCAACTGTGTGACCTTTTTTCCTTTGAAAGGAAATCTGGCTTAGGAAAGTGTTCACCACTGGCACATTAGCGGTGCACACACACACACACACACACACACACACACACACACACATGCAGGTGCACATTCTCAGGCTCATTCCAGAGGTGGACGGCAGCAGGAAGGGTGAAGTCCACTTCAGACTTCTGTTTGTTAACATTAACCTTTGTGTGTGTGTGTGTGTCTGGGGGGCGGGTCTAGAGGTGCAGGGGTCAGTTTATCGACTCTGTTCAAACTCTGGTGCTAACACACACACACACACACACAGAGATAGATTGATAGTGTTAGAAATGAAACATCACTACATGTATTCAAAAGGTTCAAAGGTGTCAGACCATCAATGATTCACAGTCAGAGACACACACTGACCCAGTGTGTGTGTGTGTGTGTGTGTCAGTGGAATGTCAGGAATGTCCATTGTTCCCAGGGTCGGGGGTGGATGTGCGGACTGTGATTGTGTTTCATGGTTCTTGGCACCACAGACTTCAGACCTGACCAGGTCTCCAGAGATCCTGGGCTACAAGAATATAAAACAACAACGGGATGTATGTGCGTGTGTGTCCAGGTTTCAGTTTGTAAAATAACACACCAGAAATGTCAGAACATAATGCATGTTATGTGATCACAGAGACCTGGTTCTGAAAAACCCTCCAGTCTTTGTCCCAGTAACAGGCAGCCGTGTATATTTACACATATTTACACAGAATACCTGCTGTACTACTGTCTCTTAGGAGCAGGTAGTACTGCTACTACCTGCTCCCTGGAACTCATTTTACTAGTACTACTGTCTCCTACAAATGACCAGACCTACATCCATACTAGGGATGACTCAATTCAAGTGTTTTACTGCAGGTTGGTATTTAAAAAAAAACTAGATACCTCAGCTTGGATGGTTTCTCCTCTTTGTGCCTTAAGATTCTCAAATTTCCAGCGGTACCTGAACACCCCTTGTTGTGGACACGTAACTCAATGTTACCATACAATGCAAGATACTCAAACACTGTCTATATGTTCATACAGTATATTAGACAGAGTGTGGAACGTCAGCATGTGCAGTACACATGCAATCAAACAAGTATATGGGTGATGTACAGGCAGACAGGAAGTAGTCACCGTGTAGGGCACAGCGCCGTCACAGGTGAGACAATGCTCATCACTGGTCATCACTGGTCATCGATAAGTGAAGATGAGAGAGGACGGGGGAGACTCGTGTGTGGAAGTATTGGAGGGTGTAGAGCACAGGAAGAGGGAGTGGAGAAATAGGTTGGAATTTGAGGCCCATGTAAACTATTGTCACTTTAACCAAAGAAATTAACTATATTGACACTTATAGTTATATCTCATTAAAAATATATATTGTCAGATGTTGCCCAGCCCTCTAATATATACATACATATATCCACTCAGCTAAAATAAACCCCTTTATGATAACAGTAAATAATAATTCTTCAGATGGTCAAAGGTGAGACAGCCAGTCTGAGCAGCACTTCCCTCTGAGTCAGAGAATAAAACAATGTTTATTTCAGCTAAA